TCATGTAGCTCATGCCTGTAATCCTAGTACTTTGGGAGGCCGAGGTGGGCAGATTACCTGAGGTCAGGAGTTCAAGACCAGCCTGGCCAACGTGATGAAACCCCGTCTCTACTAAAAATACAAAAATTAGCTGGGTGTGGTGGCGTGTGCATGGAATCCCAGCTACCCAGGAGAGCTGAGGCAAGAGAATCGCTGGAACCCGGGAGGCAGAGGCTGCAGTGGGTGGAGATCATGCCACTACCAGCCTGGGTGACAGAGTGAGACTCCGTTTCAGAAAAAAAAAAAAAAAAAAAATTTAAGATCAGAAAAGACAGAAATGAGATAGAAGAATGGGACTTCAAAGGGTAACACAGACAAAATAAACAAACATGTTTGGCTCTTCCTGGCAACCAAACCGAAAAGAAATGTAATAATGCAATAAATAAATAATAGCTTCTATTTGTCAAAGTTTTACTACTAAACATACTGCCAAGTACTTTTCATTAGATATATGAGTAGATAGAAAATTCATGTTTTTTGTGAGAGACTTCAGATTCTCAAGAGAAATAAACATTTATCATTTATTTTTTGAAAAAAGTATATAAATAATTGTAGTAGTATAGAGATAAGACAGCATACTAATTACTTCACTTAGAATCTCTCATGTAATCCATAATCTAACCTAATAAGGTAGATAATAGCCTCGCTTCATAAATAGGAAACTAAAGCTTAAAGAAATGAAGAAAGTTTTCTAAATTTACACAACTAATACATGGCAGAGCCAAGATTTGAACCCAGAGTCTATGCTCTTAATCACTATACTCAACTCACTGCACATTGTAGAACATTTGGAAGTCAAAGAAGTATATAAAGAAGAAAATAAAAATCAGCCATAGTTCAGGTACTGTTAAAAATGTAGGTATGGGCTGTCTGTGGTGATTCACACCTGTAATCCCAGCACTTTGGGATTCTGAGGCAGGAGAATTGCTTGAGCCCAGGAGTTAGACACCATCCTGGGCAACGTAGCAAGACCCTGTCTCTACAAAAAATTAGCTGGGCATGGTGGTATGTATCTGTAGTCCTAGCTACCCAGGAGGCTGAGGCAGGAGGATTGATTGAGCTCAGGAGGTCAAGGCTGCAGTGAGCCATGATTATGCCATTGCATTACAGTCTGGGCGACAGAGAGAGACCCTGTCTCAAAAGCAAAAAAGGTATGTCTTCTTCCAGTCTTTATAAAAATTGCTTTAATTATAGAAGTAGGTATGCTTATTTTAAAAGTCTTGGGGAAAAAAAGGAAACAAAAATCCATAATTCTAGAATTTAGTGATAAACATTTCAGTATTTTGGTATGTTTCCTAATAGGCATGGGCTTATGCTTTTCTATTAATATTTATTAGATCGGTGCAAAAGTAATTGCGGTTTTAGACCATGAATTTTATAACTAGGCTCAAACACATCTTTATTAATCAAAAGAGGAACCATTACAATCAACGCATTTGTGCCAACAAGAAATAAGTTTGTTTATTCCTGTAGGGTAAAACTCTGTGCTTCGGGATTTGGCAAACTTTTGGAAAGCATTTTCTGCATCCAGCTAGTTGTGGAAACGTTTTCTCTTTAAAAAGTTGTCGAGATGCTTGAAGAAGTGGTAGTCAGTTGGCAAGAGGTCAGATGAATATGGCAGATCAGGCAAAACTTCATAGCCCAATTTGTTCAACTTTTGAAGCATTGGTTTTGCGATGTGCAGTTGGGTGTTGTCTTGGAAAAGAATTGGGCCCTTTCTGTTGACCAATGCTGGTTACAGGCATTGCAGTTTTCTGTGCATCTCATCTATTTGCTGTGCATACTTCTCAAATGTAATGGTTTTGCCAGGATTCAGAAAGCTATAGTGGATCAGACTGGCAGCAGACCACCAAACAGTGACCATGACCGTTTTTTGGTGCGAGTTTGGATTTGGGAAGTGCTTTGGAGCTTCTTCTGGGTCCACCCACTGAGCTGGTCATCGCCCGTTGTTGTATAAAATCCATGTTTCGTCTCACATCACAGTCTGATAGAGAAATGGTTTGTTGTATAAAATAAGAGAAGATGACACTTCAAAACAATGATTTTTTTTATTTTTATTTTTGCTCAGCTGATGAGGCACCCACTTATCAGGCTTTTTCACCTTTCCAGTTTGCTTCAAATGCCAAACGACCGTAGAATGGTCGACATTGAGTTCTTCGGCAACTTCTTGTGTAGTTGTAAGGGGATCAGCTTCGATGATTGCTCTCCATTGGTCGTTGTCATCTTCTGATGGCCTACCACTACGCTCCTCATCTTCAAGGCTCTCGTCTCCTTTGCAAACTTCTTGAACCACCACTGTGCTGTACGTTCGTTAGCAGTTCCTGGGCCAAATGCGTTGTTGATGTTGCGAGTTGTCTCTACTGCTTTATGACCCATTTTGAACTCAAATAAGAAAATTGCTTGAATTTTTTTTTTTTTTTTTTTTTTTTGTGAGAGAGTCTCCTTCTGCTGTCCAGGCTGGCGTGCAGCGGTGACATCTCTGCTCACTGCAATCTCTGTCTCCTGGGTTCAAGCAATTTTCATACCTCAGCCCCACGTGTAGCTGGGATTACTGGCGTGCGCCACCATGCTCGGCTAATTTTTTGTATTTTTGATAGAGACAGGGTTTCACCATGTTGGCCAGGCTGGTCACGAACTCCTGACTATAAGTGATCCGCCTGCCTCAGCCTCCCAAAGTGCTGGGATTACAGGTATGAGCCACAGTATCCGGCTGAATTTGCTTTTTGTCTAATATCATTTATCTTATCTAAAATAAATATAAAATAAACAGCAAGTAATAAATCATTAGCAAAAAACAAAACGAGAAATGTGCATTAAAATGACATATAGCATAACCATATTTAAGAATGTATTCCAATATCAAACAGCAAATTTCAACAATGCAAAAATCGCAATTACGTTTGCACCCATCTAATACATGTACACTTTTTCTTGACAATAATGGAACCTTATATATATATGAAGTTTTGTATGCTTCACAATATATTGGTGAGCTTTTTCTTGTTAAAATTCTTTGGAAGTATAATTTTTTTCTGGCTGCTTAAAATTCTATTTCATAGTTTTACTATAATTGAATCATTCCATAACTGTTGGATGTTTAGGCTTTACTTATTTACTTATTGCTATAAAGCTGTGATGAGCACATTTATTGGCAAAAAAACAGACACTCTCCACTTCTGGTGGTGAATTATATTGATATGGTTTTTCTTCTATTAAACGATTTAAAAATGTTAATGTCCTTTCCAGTAATTCAATTTCTAGGAGTCTCTCCAAAGGACCCCAAACTTTTTAATTATATTCCATGCTTTGAACTGTCTTTTCCTTAGGATCTAAACGCTCTTCTCACAGCAATGCTTATTTTTATGGCTTCTTCAAGAACAAGCGAATAGTTTTGTTTGACACTCTACTAGAAGAGTACTCTGTACTAAACAAAGACATCCAGGAGGATTCTGGCATGGAACCCCGCAATGAGGAAGAAGGGAACAGTGAAGAAATAAAAGCTAAAGTTAAAGTGAGTTCTTTTTTCCTAAGAGACTCTACCTTAGTTTTTATACACAGTTCCTGTGACAACTCAAAATAACATCAATTTCTATGCAGTGAGTGTTGAATTCAGGGAGACTATCAAATAAAAAACCATGGCTCCTTTATAGTTCTGGTATTTAGGAGAGTTTACCACTGTTATTACATGCTAACTACCTTGCAAGCTTTTATAGAATGTAGAGATTAAAATTGGAAGCTCTTGTAAGAAAATTCATATGATTATAAGCTGTCTTTAAAACAGTAACTTGGGGGTGTGTGTGTGTGTGTGTATAAAATTTCTGATGTGTTTATGATCAAAGAATTACCACAAGCAAGATAAAGAGAAGATAAACATCTAATTTTTAGCTTTATTAAGACAGTAATTATAGGCTTTGGCAATGGAGAGACTTGGATTTGAATCCTGGTTCTGTCATTTAGTAGCTTTGTATCCTTGGATACATTATGTAATTTAGTCTGTTTTATTTGTTTAACACACATTTATGAAATGTATACTCTGTGCTGAGATACTTTGCTTGGCACTAGGTACACAAAAATCAAAAGGAATACCTTCTTCTTAAGCTTACAGTCCAAAGGGGAGCTAGTCATGCAATCACAGTACAATACGTTAATTGCTACTGTCAAGCTTTAGACTCTAGATATAGTGGGAGCACAAGAAAAGACGTTTCTCGAATCTGACCTGAGAGTCTGAGAAAGCTGCTTCTGAATCCTTTTCCTGGATAAGACTGACTGATATTGATTAGCAGAATTTAAAATATCAAGACTAAATGGGGGAGAGGGGACAATAATAAGAAACAATACAAACTGTCAGAAACGGTCATCAGTATTTGTATGTGTGATGGAATGTGCCATTGCCTTTGGTGTCATACAGAGATGATTTTAGATCCCTGTTCACTCACCATCTGTGTAACTCTGTGCAAGTAAGTTAAGCTTTCATTTATCTATGTATTTATTTATTTTGAGATGAGGTCTCATTATGTTTCCCAGGCTTGTCGAACTCCTGGCCTCAAGTTACCCGCCTGCCTCGGCCTCCCAAAGTGCTGGGATTATAGGCGTGTGCCACTGCACCCGGCCAAGCTTTCTAAATATTTGATTTCTTAACTGAAAGATGAGGCCAATAGGGTTTCTCAAGCTCCACACTATTTTGGGGGGACAGATAATGTTTTTGTTGTGGGAGGCATCTTGCGCATCATAGGATGTTTAGCAGCATCCCTGGTCTCTCGCCACTAGGGGCCATTTCCCCCCTACAACCTCCAAAAATTGTGACAATGTCTCAGAATATTGCCAGATGTCCCCTAAAGGTTCGGGTGGGGTCAGGTCTCCCCTGGTTGAGAAATACATGGCTAAAGATGCCTACATTTTAGGATTTTGAAGATTAAATGAAATAATATGTGTGAAATACCTTGTACTGTCTATCAAAATGTAGAGAGTACCAGAAAATGATTAGCATCTGAGCATCTGTTTTGACCCTAAAAACAGGTTCTAGTAAAGTACCTAGCCTATTATAAATATGTAAAGGAAATAAAATTCTGTGAAGGGATTAGAAGACATCTTAAGGTCATCTTATAGATAGGAAAACTGAAGTCCAGAGAGAATAACCCAGTGATAGCACTAGAGAATCATGCAAGTTTAGAAAGTTAATCTGCTTATGGTCGGGCGCTGTGGCTCATACCTGTAATCCCAGCACTTTGGAAGGCCAAAACAGGTGGACCACTTGATGTCAGGAGTTAGAGACCAGCCTAGCCCACATGGTGAAACCCCATCTCCACTAAAAATACAAAAATTAGCCGGGCATCGCGTGCCTGTAGTCCCAGCTACTCCAGAGGCTGAGGTGGGAGAATCGCTTGAACCCAGGAGGCAGAGGCTGCAGTGAGCTGAGATTGTGCCACTGCACTCCAGCCTGGGTGACAGAGTGAGACCCTGTCTCAAAAAAAAGAAAGTTAACCTGCTTAAGAGGCATCTTAAGCATTGTCTAAACCTGGTAATGTTAAGTAATGTCTAAACCTAGACATTAGCTAATGGTGCACTGATTACAAGCAAAGTACAGAGATAACAGACGTTTAATGTCTATGAGAATAGTTTTCTTTGGCTACAAAAACAATTGAGTGGTCCTTTGAAGTATGTTGAATGGGATTTGACTTATTTTGCTGGCTGCTTTAGAGGCCCGCAGCTGGGTGTGGTGGCTCACACCTGTAATCCCAGCACTTTGGGAGGCTGGGGTTAGAGGATTGCTGGAGGCCAGGAGTTTGAGACCAGCCTGAGCAACATGGTGAGACTTCATCTTCTCAAAAAATAAAAAAATAGCTGGGCGTGGTGATGCCCACCTGTAGTTCCAGCCACTCGGGAGGCTGAGATGGGAGAATCACTGGAGTTCAGGAGGTTAAGGCTGCGGTGAGCTGTGTTTGCTCCACTGCACTTCAATCTGGGCAACAGAGCGAGACCATGTCTTCAAAACAAACAAAAAGAGCCTGCTTTGCTTCATTGGTTAACTACAAATATTTTACTGTCTAAATACATATTACATGACAAGATACAACAGACATAGTTTTACCGTAAAGAACCTACAGTAGACAAATAGCCTAGAGTTTAAGGCAGGGCATGGTAAATGTCATGAGTAGCAGCTGATATAGTGTGGCTTTCAGAAATGGAGATATTGATGCAGATTCTAATGGTCAGCAAGTTTCTTAGAAGTGAGGCTATTTGAAGTAGGTAGAAGTTTGACTTGGGGCTGGGGTTTTTCAGGTTGAAGGCTAGGAATAAATAGAGATAAAGTTCATAATGCCTGTTCTGAAACTAATGATTAAATGGATTCTTGTAGATGGGGATAGGAAGGTAGGCCAGGACCAGTTTTTTGAATACTTTTTCCTGAAGCCATCAAGTGATTGTTTCCAGTGGCCTGGAAAGTTTAATTTGGGTAGAGGCCAAAGCTTATTTTAGGAAGATTCAAATCTGATGGCAGAATATAGAATAGAGCAAAGATTGGAGGCAAGGAGACTTCTAGGAGTCTACTGCATTAAGATGACCAAGATAAGCGTGAGATAATGAGGGCCTGTGCCAGAATGAGAGGTCCAAGTAAGTGCAAGAGTCATAATAAAGGATGGATTGAAAGTACAGTCATGCTCCACATAATGACATTTCAGTCAATAATGGACCGAATATGCTACCATAATATTATAATACCATGTTTGTAACCATACTTGTCCTAAGGTTACATATGCTTAGATACACACTTACTCACTATTGTGTTACAGTTGCCTACAGTATTCAGTGTGGTAACATGATAGACAGGTGTTTGTGTAAGTGTACACTATGATGTTTGCACAACAAAATCACCTAACAACACACTTACCAAAACATATCCCCATCATCAAATGATGCATGACTGTACTTAGAGATTGATATTATGGGAAGTGAAGGAGAAGGTCAAAGATTGACTCAACAAGCCAGGTGCGGTGGCTCACGCCTGTAATCCCAGCACTTTGAGAGGCTGAGGCAGGTGGATCACCTGAGGTCAGGAGTTTGAGACCAGCCTGGCCAACATGGTGAAACCCCGTCTCTACTAAAAATACAAAAACTCTACGCCAGGCATGCGTGTGGGGGCACCTGTAATCCAGCTACTTGGGGTAAGCTGCGGCATGGAGATCACTTGAACCTGGGAGGCAGAGGTGCAGTGAGCTGAGCATTGTGCCGTTGCACTCCAGCTAGGAACAAGAGTGAAACTGTCGCTCAAAAAAGATAACAGTTTATTACTTATTGCTTTTTGGCACATGTAACCATAGGTGATGACTTTAGGTAGGTTCACTTCACTTTAACTTTGATTAGTTTTTATCTATTAATGTTATTCTATGGCGGGGGAAAAATGAAACTAACGTGTATCAAACCTCATGATTTCATACACAAATGTTATTGGTCACTTAGGATAAGGCTCATTCTTAAAAAGGTGGGATTGGTTTTAAACAGAATAGTAATAAGTACATGGAGGGTACAAGCATGTGGTGGAAGTTTTAGAAGCCAGAATTAATTCAGCACTTTCGCTACTGATGCCACTATGTAGCAAGCAGTAAAAGGGATGGCAAGACTGGTGTATAGCCTGATGGTACAGAGACATGGAGCCCTTTTCATTTTTAACAGAAATTAAGACAAAAACTAGGGCCGGCGCGCTCGGTGGCTTCAAGCCTGTATGCTCCAGCACTGTTGGTAGGCCGAGACGGGCGATCACGAAGTCAGGTGAGATCGAGACCATCCTGAGCCGAACACGGTGGAAACCCCCGTATCTACTAAAAAATACAAATAAACCAAGCGGGGCCTGCGAAGGTGCGGCGCCCTGGGTCCCAGCGACTCGGAGCTGAGGCAGGAAATGGCGTAAACCCGAGGCGGAGCTTGCAGTGAGCTGAGATCCGGCACCGGCACCCAGCCTGGGCGACCAGAGCCAGACTCAGTCTCAAAAAAAAAAAAAAACAAAAAAAAAAAAAGAAAAAAACTAAAGTTACCTGAAATCCCTTAGAGATAACTAACATTTTGATGAGTGTGTCCATAATGGCTATTACATTTTAAAAGATAACTGGGAAACCTGGCTGGAATTTTACCCTTCAGGAGACAAACAGAAGAATTGAAACAACCTGTCTCAAAAGCAATTGAAGGCCAGGCACAGTGCCTCACGCCTGTAATCCCAGCATTTTGGGAGGCCAGTGTGAGAGGATTGCTTGAGGCCAGGAGTTTGGGCAACATAGCAAGACCCCTATCTGTACAGAAAATTAAAAAATGCAAAATGTTCAAAAGCAATTTAAGAAAATAATTTTAAATATATATAAGCTGCCCTTTTGTAGAAGACAGCAAGTATTTCCCCAGTAAGTACTAGGGTTATATGAAAGTCTTCCCAGTTGATAAATATGATGGAAAGGATGCAGGCTCCGGAGAGGTGGATTTTACCCACTATTTAGTAGCAAGACATTTTAATTTCTTACCTCCTTTTCT